TTTTGTCTTTTTCTGTCCTCTGGAAATGATGAAAGGATCACATGAGGAGCAGGCACGGCGACTCAGGACCCTCGTAAGTCGGAGAAGGCATCGGACACATGTATGTGAGTATACGTGTGAGTGTGTGTGTGTGTGTGTGTGTGTCTGGCTCTCTGCAAGTCCTGCGCCTGCCTCCAGCCGGGATTGCAGGCTGATCTTAGCAGTAATGATGCCTCACATCTCACTATTCCCTGCTAATGTAAGTCGTGCCTTTTTTTCCTCCCTGCCTGACACCCCAGGGAGATGTTTACAGTAATGAATTCAGTTGATAGCCATCTCTCTCTCTCCTGGAGTCCCTCCCACATTTCTAGTTTAAAGAATGCTTGGAAGGCAGGGCTGCAACCTAAAGCTTTCCAAGAGGCAAAGTCGGGCTAGATTTTCTCTTTTTCTTCTTTCCTTATTTCCCTCCCCGTCCCCCCCGTCTCCCCCGGCTGCTTTTAACCCCTAGCTTGCTGAGGACAATTTAGCGAGCTCTATCGGCTTGGGCTCGCCCTCTCCCCCTTTTTCAGCGATGGGAAGCGGGCGGGCGGCGCTGCCGGGGGGATGCAGGGGCTGCGCAGAGCCCGATCCCCGCCCTGCCTCACGCTGAGCCCGCCGGGCCGGCGCTGAGGAAGAGGAAGGTGCGGGTATCGCCGTCCTTGGCGGCGGGACTGCCCCGGCACCGCTGCTCCGGGCGGGTCGGAGCGGATCGGGAGGGAGGCCGGCAAGGGAGCTGAACAACTCCCCGAGCGGCGCTTCTGGGAGATGCCCTCGCTAGCAATAATTACAGCCGTGCTCTCCACCAACATGGCGATATTTCATGTGCAGCCGCCGCCAAGCCCGCCTCCCCCACCCCCTTCTTTTGCTCTCCTTCCTCCCTTGCGAACTTTTAGATACGCAGTACCAGTATTCAACAAATACAACACAGAATAAAAGAATCTCCGACCCTCAGGGAAGAGTCGGACCTCCTCCAGTATTCTGTCTGGTTTTCATCATCAGTCATAAAGACTTGAAAACCTCTGGAGAAACCGCCTTTTGCCCTAAAGCGGGAACAACACCCACTCCACCCCCCACCCTCCTATTTCTCCTGTACACTCAGTGCATATGAGAGTGTGTGTGTGTGTGTGTGTGTCTGTGTGTCTGTGTGTCTGTCTGTGTGTGTGTGTGTGTGCATGCCGGGCTGTCTGCGCTTGTTTCGGAGTAACCCTTCCCCCGCCGTCCAGCTCCCCAGCAGCCTTCTGCCTCGTCCTGGCAAGTCCACTTAAAGACAAAGCTATTTAATACCGAGAAGCACTTGAGCGATACGATACAGCCGTCACGGTCGGATGTGGGGTGTGCCAAGAGAATTTGCCTCAAACTCCTACATTAGTAATGAAAACGCACAGCGCAGCTTTTGCTGCGAGTTACTTTAAGAAACGGGCTGAGGAGGGACGGAGGAGAGGGAGCTGATCAATGCCATGTGGCGAGGAAACAGAAAAAGGAACCGAAATGCCTCGGAGTTGGCTTGCCCCTCACCCCTGGCTGCTCAGTGCCTTCTATTTGCTCGGCCGTACCTCAAAAGCTGAATTACTCGCTATTAGCTCCGCGCCTCCTTCGCCCTTCGCTTGGGGGGGCTAAACCACTCCCGGCTTCAAAGGCTCAATGGAGCCGTAGCGAGGAGCCCCGGCCAGCCCAGCCGCAGCTCCTGCTCCTGCCCCCGCACTCGCCCTGCCCTCCACCCTCCTCCCGGCCTCCGAGGGGCTCCGGAGAGTCCGGCTGGCCAGCCCGGAGCCTCGCCGCCCGCTCGCTCGGGGGAGGAAGAGGACTTGTGCCCTCACTACGAGGAGTGATGGGGGTGGGGAGCGAGCACGGCCAGGGGAGCGCAGGTAGCCAGCGTTTCTCGGGGGACTCAGCAAGAGGAAGGGAGATAAGGACGAGAACCCGCTTCCCTCCCTGCTTCTCGCCCCAGGATGGAGGGGAGGCAGCCCGGGGCCCTCCGCGGGTCCCAGGCGGCCGGGAAGAAGAGGGTGTGACACCGGTCAGTCCCGCGGCCAGAGCCTGCATCCCCGCCCCGGAGCACGGGCTGCTCTGTAGGCTCTGCTCGCAGCTGCCAGCTGGTCCCGAGGGATGAAAGGCTCAGGAGCCCCTTAGAGTACAAAGGCTAATGTTCTAGGTATTTTTTGACTTTTTAAGATCTTTCTTTCTTTATTTATTTCTTTGCGTCTGCATACTTTTCAGAGCTCTTATTTGAGCACGATTTATATATGCTTCATGAAGCTGATGGACAGCTAGTGCATTTTCTAGCTGGCGAAAAAGACCCTCTCTTTCTCATGTTTACTCCACCTGTCCCTCTGTTTTCCACGTCCCCGATATTAGCAGCCTGGCGTCAGCACAGAAGGCAGAGCTGGCCATTGTCGATCGCAGGTATTTTTGCCCTCTGTGCCCCTAATCAGGGAGGAAAGTGGGAATGTTAAAAACTTCTGCAAGGCTGCAGGCAGTTGCCCTGTTCCGCAGTCTCAGAGGGATTAGAAGGAATTATCCCTGTCCTATTCTTCATATCAGTGAATGGTACTCAGGACACCTTTTTTGGTCAAATAAAGATCGTGTCAATTCAGAAAGTGACTTAATCAGGCGTTACCTGCTCCTGCGGAAAGGGGTTCCTTCTCTGTAGGTCACCCAAAGCCCACCGGGTCCGGCAGGTTGAAAGGGGAGAAAGTGGCAGAACAGCTGGGCTCCAGCATGGTACTGCTTTAGGGATCACCACCGAGGGCTCTGTTTTCCATAGCTGCCACTGGTCACCAACACCCAAGGTTGCTCTCAAGGAAAGGAGGAAAGAAATTATCTTCCCAAAGTGCTCTCCAGGCGGTCGTTTGACCCTGACACCCACGGATGACACTGAAGCACACCCCGCTGAAGCGGCTGAACGCCTGGCAATTTCCTGTCTTCGGTTCCCCGGCGGCCCCGGGCACCGCCGCCGAGCGATCTTATCGCCGTGCCATCATCATCACTCACCGCCGGCAACCAGAGATGCCGCGCTCCTAGGTCAGGGTGACAGATTTCAAACGCGGGGCTGCAGCGTATCCAGCCTCAGACATATTCTTCCTCAAACTTTGCCTAGCAAGCAAGTCAGTGGCTTAACCCTTCGCAGCTCTTTCTCTCGCCCGGAGACCGAGACCCCAGCAGAGGGAATGCTGCTTTGAGGGGCACCCGGGACAAGGCGGCTGCTTGGCTGGAGATGCTTTATTACGTGCCGTTTTCTATTCTTGGCTATTTTCACTTGAAACAGATGAGAACCGCCAACTCCAGGGAGCAGATGGAGGGCTTTTCTGTGATTAGGGGCTGGAAAAATCCTCTTGGCAAAGCAGATCGCTGGGGACTCACCTGTGGTCCCTCTCTGTCACCGAGTCAGCAAACTCATCTGCATGGCACGAATTCCTCTCATACGCACATATACAGACAGAGCTTCTGCACTTTCCCCAGCCAGGTGTGGTTAAAAGCACAATTCCAAAAGTGCCATTTCACTCAGATCTCGAGATTCAGCTCTTTTACAGGTTATTAACTACAACAGAGAAAGGAGCAAGTGAGAAAGAAACATATTTTCAGGAAAGAAAGAAAGGAAAAAATAGCCTTTTTCACATATGCACTTTGTACTCAAAGGAAATATTTACCACCACCAAACTCCAGCCTGTCAGAACATGTTTCTTCCTAAGCACAAGAAACCTTAAAACTGAAAAAACCCATGTGCAATTCAAAGATGAAATAAAGTGCTTGAAAGCTTTCCAAAGTGTGTACCACCAGCCCAGAGCCCGATGTCAAGACAACAGGGAAATAAGATTAACAAACTCTATTGATTGCCTAGTATTCATTTTTATATATTTTTAGTGCATTGTGATGCGTTTGTCACCCTTCTCTGCCCCAACCCCCCCCCTAAAAAAATTAAAAAGAATAATAATAATAAAAGTAAAGTGGGGACACGACCTCTGGCTGCAGCTCCGGGAGGTCCTTCCAGAGCCCCTGCGGTCATGCTGTAGGAAGGCTGGAGAAGCAGGTAGATGTGTATGAATGGAAATTTCAGCGCTTTCTCCATTAAATGTGTAAGATAAGGCTGGACAAGGGAGGAGAAGAATCCTACAGTAAGCAAAGGGACAGGAAAAGAAAATATTCTCCTCCCACCCACATTTCTAAGTTCCGATTTTAAGCACAGCAGGCAAATAAAATTCTTCAAACGAAGAACCCCCGGCCACACTCAACCCTTCCCCTCCACGAAACTGCCCCAAACCTGACCCTTTGGACACGGCATGTATCCCTGTGCAGGCGGTGGCAGCAGGTGAGGTGAGCGGGGCCCGCGGGCGGCAGGAGGAGCCGCAGGTGCGCAGCGGAGC